AAAAAAAAGGCCTCTGATTGAGAGGGTAATACCAAATTCAGTCCATGGAATAAGGCATCTTGAGCAGTGTGCCATATCAAAAGAGTTTGAAGGGAAAGGAAGCCTCTGTGTTGAGATGATGCCCAGAATTGCAGGAATTCCACGTTCCAGAGCGAATTGAACCTGAGCCTCGTGATTATCCCTTGGAGCAAGAGAGACAGTTAGAATCCCACGGTCTAATAAATAACCTCCCCAGCTGGCAACCTGAACACGTGTGTGAGAAGAAGTTCAAATTTCAAGATAAGTACATCTAAAATGTCCTGAAAAATAATAAAATAAATAAGGAGAAGTTGCATTATTTTCGGATTAAAGAACTGTCTTTGTTTATGGAAACCTGTAACTAATAACTATAAATAACACCTAATTCCCCAACCCCCAGTGACATGACAAAAGATATCAGACATATTCATTATAAGTTATAACAGGTACACTGACAATATTGGCAAGCATCCATAAGCATGCATACAGCACTACAAAATTCTTATGCACCATGTGGAAGGTTGATATACAATGATGATTCCCATATGGGATTTTGGCACTAAGACTTCTAGGTATATTGATCCGAAGTCGAGCCTACCCATAAATTAACAATTATATTTGAAGGCTGTCATCAAATACTAACATAAAAGAACAAAGTTACACCTTAAAAAGTTTTCTTAACTTCATAATTATGAAAACTTATTTGCTTTCCTTGAGCATTGATAGGGACATCAATGAACCTCAAATCCCGGGGACAAGGTCCCAAGGATGGTAATAAATGACATAGAGTGCAAATGACAACATAAGAATATTTTGATCTATCACATACAATTGATAAGGGAAAAAAAATTCTTTGTATGGATGCAGTGTATAATGAAGAGGACTCACTCCACACCCAGTGTCAATAGCAGTCCGGACAGTCCCATCTGTCATTCCCGATATCAGATCTTGCATCAATTCGACGTAGGGACCAACACCTTTGGGGAACGTGGTTCCCCCACCAGGGAAGAAGAACTTATCCCCCTCTTTCCTCAGCCAATGTTGATCTGATTTTTTTTTGCTTATCCAATCATAGGGAACATTCCTGGATTATGAAAGCTAAAATACATCACATAGAAAAATGAAAAAGAAAAACTCCAAACCTCTTTATAATAATAAATGCTTTATAACATTAGGGAATTACTTATTACCTGTACCAACATTCATCTCTGCTCTTAGGCCATCTTATAGGCAACTTATAGCCATCAGGTGGTGGAACTAAACACTCTTTCTTTTCATATAATGGAGGACAATGACGCTCTAGAAAAGTTAGCCGATGAGTACTGTACTTCTTCCACCTCTGTAACAGTAGCACTATGTCATCCACATTAAATTTTAATACAAAATAGGAATAAATTAAATCCCCAATCCAGAAAAAGACCTTAAAGTCACAATGAGATAAATCATAGAAAGTACCCTTGGATCTGTGCATGGCGTGTAATCCTGATAATCAATGCTGCATTCAGGAAAAGTTACTTCTTTAATTTGGAGAGGGCATGCACCCATTTCCTTGGAAGTTTCAATAGCCTTAGTAATGTCCTTGGTTACATATCTGTCCTTTTCCGAACAAAACATTCCACCAAGATAGAATGAAAACCCACATAACACGACAACTATTATTGCCATGGGGACTGTCACGGAACTTTTATCGGGTTGATGTGTTGGTTTACCATCTTTAGGATTCATGGTCTGAGAATTTACTTGCTATCTGCACACGCGTTCACAAGACAAGTTGTAAATTACTGCATATAAATAAATCTATATCAATTGAGAAAGAGATGTAATTCTTTTATATCCAAAATTCACAATCCATTTCTAATTAGTGGAAAGAAAATGAATAAAAAAAAAGGTAAAAGATAGCTAACTAGGAACCTTCAACAGTCATCTCCAAATTGTCAAAAAAAAAAAAGGTTCCAATCATAAAAGAGAAAACTTCAATTAAGTATAGAGAAAAGCAAAAGCTTCTTGACCATTTTGATCAAATTGCTGACCCGTGCAATCACCAAATGTTAGCATCCAATAAAATGATTTATTACCAATACTTAATCCAAAAACAATGCTCAAAGAACAAGAGTTATTTATAAGTTGAATGCTTACTAGTACACCACATGTAACATATATAAGTAATGCAATTACAGAAACTCTTTTAGCAGCAATTGTCAATGAAATGCAGCTTGAAGATTCAATTCATGAAAAGTGTAAATCTCGGAAGGATACAAATTATAAAATTATTTCAAAGTCAAAGAAAAACCAGGAATTATGCCAATCTAAGGGTCAAGACAGCCACTACGAATTAGCTTTAAGTTCTGTGAAAACTATATCTCACAGTAACTAGGGACACATTACACTTTTCAAGTCACTTTATATTTTCCACATGATGATGGGACCTACCCCTTATAAAGTTTCCTTGTCATAATGAGGGCCCTCTGTGCCACTAAGTCGGCAAAAATTAATCAATCTCACCCAACAGAAACCGCGAAAAATCCAACAAAAGCGAAAGAAAGTTAAAGCGTCTGCATAATGACATTGATATGCATATCCTAATAGAAAAACAATATGGAGATAATTTAATCATCCCTTAAAAAGTTTTGGTGAAAAAAAAAAGTTGTTATTGAATAAATTATGACTGTTAGCCAACTGATTCCCATTACGAAGAGAAAAACAAACACAAAGATCCAAAACAACCTCACCAAATGCATAAAAAATTCAGGCAAAATTTTATGATATATAATTACCCCAAACAGTATATACAGAGTCACAGACATATTGAGAAAGAAAGCACAAAAAACATAAGCAACTTTTATATGTAAAATTGTTTATATGCTTAAAAAACAAAGAGTGGCCCATGTCCAAATTCAGATCTGATTCCAAAAATTAAAGAAATCCCATTTCATAAGCAACCCAATAACCATTTTAAACTGTAAAACAGAGCATGACTTAATTCCTGATCATAAATGATCGGAGACGCGAGGGGGATCCGGAAAATTATAAAGAAAAAAAGTACCTTCTACAGTGTGTATCTCTGTGTGTAAATACACATAAAAAGTTCAGAAACGTGTATTTCTGATACAAAATTGGTGTACTTTGTGCACATAAGTCTCTGTTTTCAAATGTTGAATTAAAAAAATAAAATCAGCAACTTTCAGGTTGCCCCTGAAGAGAGATCTTGCTGATAAATAATTTTATGAGACTGCTAGAGAAAGAATTAAAGAGAAGGGGGGCTGGGAAGAGGATGACTTTGAGAAGGGAATGTGTCGCTCTTTGTGCAGCCTCACATATAGATATAGAGCCTCTGGTGTGAGTGTACTCTCTAGTGTTTCATCTTTACATAAAGAAACAATTTTTCAGAAAGTAGAAGCAATAAAGAAAGAAATATATATAAAAGTAGGTCCCACTTTTATTTTTAATTTCACCCCTTTCTTTAGGGTACTTATCTAAGTGGATTTAAAGCATCTTCAGTGTGTAGGTGAATTCTTAAAGAAAATTTGTCACATGAGCCAAAAATAAAATAAAAAATAGAAAAGTTTTATCTATATTCAAAATCTTTGTTTATGAAATGGCTTAATAAGATTTATATTTTTTATGCATCATTAGCTGTGCTTTTATTTTTAATTTAATATTATTTTAAAAAAAAAGACAATTAGGTCAGTTCGATGACAATTAGGTCAGTTCGATGACAATCCATATAATGCAATGAAGATACTCTTATAAGTTTATTCAAAAGAAGTTGAGAGAAGTAATGCAAGCTTCCAATCTTCAAAAATTACACTATTTGGGTCATAAATGATCTAAAACTTGTTTGGTGGAGATTAAAATGGGTTTATTAGACGAGTATGATCCAATAACGACTATATTTTTAATTTTAATGGGATTAAAATTCATCACAAACAAGCTCCTAATAGAAAGTAGATGTTAAATTAACGCGTGATATTTACTTGTCATTGAAAATTTTTCAAGAAACGACCCTTAAAATTATGCTTTATGAGACTCTTTAAATTAATATTTTAAAATAAATTGTGAGTTTGACTCTCTAAATTTGGAGAGCAAATCCACTCTATAAATTAAATGGCTTCAAAATATTTTAATTTTCAATGGAGAAAAATAGTATAATAATTTGAAGGAAAATTAGTAAAACTAAAAGATGAGGAAAAAAATAAATATTTTTTGGTAGTAGTAAAATTCAATGTTAAATATAAAGTGCAAGTAAAAAAATTTAATATCTAAATTATAAATGCTCTCTAAATTACAAAATATATTTTTTTATAAATAGAGAGTCTTCTGAAAATGTTCTTAGAATATAAGGTTCAGAGTGATAAGCAAAATAATATAAAAAATGTGATGAAAGATTTAAAAAAGAAAAATAGATTATCTATAAACGTCGATAAATAAGTAGCGCTGCCTTTTATATTCTCTTTTTAGTTTAAGGTTTGTTTGAGACTCGTTTTTTAGGATAATATATTTTGTATTAGTAATTTTTTGGAGAATTTTTGTTTTGAAAGTTACGGAAAAATTTTAAATTTATATCTAAAATTATTTTATTGAAAGAATGTATAATTGAAAATAAATTTGACGAAAAATAAGTTTTTAAAGAATGATATTCAAACATGGACTTGGATCTCTTCAAAAATTTCATCCTTAATTTCGGATGAAAGGTGAAGGAATTCTACCGCGGCCATATTTAAAAAAAAAAAAAAAAGATTGATTGATTTCATTTTTCTCTACTTTTCTTCCTTTTTTTTATTTGTCTTTTGATTTTTATTCTTAACTTCATTATTTACTACAAAGATATTGTCGTAATGTAAAAAGATTTTCCTTGTTTCAGTACAATGGTCAAGGGTGGGACCCACACATTCTCCCCATTTATCCCAGAAAATTGAATACTAATTAATTTTCTGTGCTCTTTCATTATTGATGTCGCAAACGTAGTTGAATTCTTTGGTTTAACAATCAAAAGTTTTTTTTTTTTTCCGAGTTTTCATTAGCCGCTGTTTAAGTCATATTATTTTTTTCATTTTCATTCTTTTATTTATTTTTAATCGCACATTCTTCAATAAAATAATATTTTCCATCACATCAACAGTAAAAATGCATTCTTACTTCCAAAATGTGCACCAAACAGAGTCTGAGAAACTAATAGCACTTGAATCTCGACGAAATATAACGAGACGTATAAGTGACTCGATCAATCGAAAATCGATGAAATAATAGCAATTATCGATGATAAGGTAAGAGATATGGAATTATGCCGAGCGATAAAATTATTATCTATAAATCAATGTAAGAAATTTGACACTTGGTGATGATATCTCGGTATCAATATTTTGGCATTTATTTTATCGTCTGAACTAGATTTCAACTATAGAGTAAAAAATATTTCTGCCTCTGAAAGAATAAAAGAAATTTAATTAATAAAGAAATAAAAAGGATAAAAATAAATAGTAATAAAATATTTTATTTTGGATTAAACACAAAAGGGAAAAAAAATGTAAAAAATGGTCATTATCAATTCTCATACACGAAATTCGATTTGGGGAAGAACTGGATTCTCACTCCCATTAGAATAGAATTTTATGTGGCCAGTTAAGATTGAAAATGAAATATTCCATTCTATTTTTAAAACTCTAATAATCAACTAAACAAGTTTTATTCTTAATCTGTATTTTGCACGTAAACTCAAATGAACGTGATTTTAACTTATTTTCTTCATTAATTCAATCCTATCAAATTCTTTCATCCAAACATACCATAAAAATCTACCGTAGGTTGTATATAAGCCAGAATATCACCTCCCATGTAGAGTTCTCAAAATTCTTAATTTGCATACTCGTAATTAAAAAAAGGTTGACTTCCTTAATTCATAATTCAAACAAAGAAAATCTAAAAATAGTCTGTATTACACTTTATTATGGTATTTTAAAAAATTAGCCAAAGATAGGGGCATTTTGTAAAATTAAGTGTCATGGCTGATGGGACCCCCGGAGGGAGGGTGATTATGACGTGAAAATCAACTAGTGATGGCAAAAAAATCCGTCCCACCTCGAACTGAACCGAACCCGTCTCGTGAAGAAATAAAAATAAATAAAAAAATTGTTTTGGACGTTGTTTATTTCGAGTGCCCCCCTTCCCCGTAGATAAGGTAGGGCAGGGTTGGGGTGCATCGGGCTTGTTGCCATCTCTAAAATCAACAATTTATTTTAATTAAACATTTCACGAGATTCACTCAAATTAATTTTTATCAAAAACTAGAAAAACGTTTACCCCTAAAACGACAACAAATGCGTGGTTAGCCCGCAATACTCATTGAGAGATATAATTATGACGTTTGTTCACTAACAAACAAGCTTTGCTTCCAATCTTCAACGAATTAGTTATCTACTCAAAAAAATCAAAGACGAAATTAATGCTTCAAGTCACATCAAATACAATATTTTTTTCAATATAATTACACAGAGTCCCAGTGTGTGAAAACAAATTATGTAAATTTTTGATAGATTCTAGTCAAATATTTTAAGGTTATTGTCAATATGATTTTAATACATAGAGTTCCAGTTTGTTGAAACATTTTCAATACTGATAAAAACAGTATAATATGTAATAAGATTTCTAACTTTTTCTTCTTTCTTAATACTATTTACCATTATTCGATCTATATTATCAAGGTATCCGCGCAATATGGTTCTTTCTAGTTTATAAATAGGCACGTGAAACATCGAAAAGTATTCTTAATGAGCTCTCAACAATAGCATTTAGGGTCCATTGATTGCAAATATGAAAAATGGTTGGAAAGAAAATATTTTACAGGGAATTGAATTGTCTAAAAATTATTTTACTAGGAATTGTAATTAATTGTATTTGATTGATATAATTTTCCACCTAAAAAATGTTAAAAGTTTGATATCCGTTTGACTTCGTTTTTATGGAAATTGTCCGTGAAAGTGATAATTTTTTCTACCATTTGGTCTAGAATTTGTTCCAAAAAAAAATTAAAATTACGATACCGAATACAATTCGTTTGGTTTTATTTTGCATAAAAATTGTCAATAAAAATAATTTTTTTTTTTTTACCATTATGTCTAGAATTTTTTCACATTGCAAAACAAAAAAAAAATAACTTGGAAAATCTTCTCCCACAAAAACAAAAAGAAAATATTTTCCCAAAGCAGGCGCGTGAAAAAATTTTGCATGAAAAATATGTGTTATCAAACAATGCAAAAAGTGGAAAATGGAAAAAACTTTCCAATTTCCCTAGAAAATGGATGCTATCAAACATAGCCTTACATTTGTTTTAGCACCTTGGAAACGAGGCAACATAATGCATGTCACATTGAAATGTCATTAAGTTGAACTTCTACACTGCTCGCTAATGTACCTATCTTAACCAACACGAGCAGAAATGCTGCTTACAAGATTCTTTTTTGTTCGTTTTCTTCGTGACCAGTTCGTGAAGGAGAACAGGATGAACATGAAAATCTCGACTATCTGCATTTATCATAAGTTGTAGTGGCATCCTTAATAGAACTGGAACCGGAACTTCAGAACCTGTAAATGTCCCTGAATAGTTTCGATTATATTATGTTTCCTATTCACCAGCTACATGTTCGTGTTGCCCGACTGTAAGGAAATGCAAGAAAACAATATTACACAGGATTCACCCAGAATAAAACACAAAGTAAAACCAGTAGCAGCAATGAAAATGCTGAAATAGATGCCCCTAGGACTAGTAAAGATGAAACTATGTATCTCTTTGTAGTTCTATTGAGTTAGAATATAAAAAACCTAATTCACCCAATAAACCTTAAAAACTTTTCGTGAGCATAATCGAATCCAAACTTTTAGTAAACCTGTAAATGGCCATGTATATATAGCATCAAAGATAGTATACCTGTAATGTTTTGCCCCAACTAATATATCTCATCATCAGGAATTTCTGGTGTCAAAAACTTCTTAGGGTCTTTGCTGATCTCCTCGTAATTGAATGTAGAAGCCTTGACCTTTTCAGGAACAGGCACAAGTGGAATAATGCTATCTCTGTCAATAACCCCATCAATTATGCCATATTCAACTGCTTCAATAGGGGACATGTAACGATCCCTATCGATATCTTTTTCGACTTGTTCAAATGAGCGACCAGTGAAATTGGATATAATTCTAGTGACATTTTTTTTGTTATGCATCACTTCTTGAGCTTGAATTTCGACATCTATCGCTTGCCCACTTGCACCTCCCAGTGGCTGATGTATCATAATTCGTGCATTAGGCATTGCAAAGCGTTTGCCTTTGGTGCCACTACCAAGGATTAAGGAAGCTGTTGACGCTGAAATGCCTAGCGCAATCGTGGAGACGTCAGCTCTAACAAGTTGTACAACATCAAAGATGGCCATTGTAGCACTGATGAAAAGTTGAAAGGAAATCAGTAAATCCAAAATAGAGAAACGCAGTTCAAGAACTAACTAAATATCAGTAAACTAATGGAATGGATCCAGTTATGGGTGAAGGCCCAGAAAGCAGATGCGAACACATGAATTTCACCCACGGATTGGCTTGGAGTGCAAGCTCAGTCGAGATGAGGTCACAGAGAAGATTCAAATTGAAGCACAGCTCACTGGGTTCAGGGCTGATGCTCAAGTCGTTGTAAAGAAGCCTCACAAAGTTCAACCAAGTTTATTCTCCATGTCACTAATTCAAAATTTGGATCAAAAGCAATGTATTGCATGATGATCTTAGCTACCAACAAATAGCAAGAAAGGCCAGAACATCAGGCTTCAGGGAAAGGCCAGAACCATCAGGCTTCAGGGATCTTCTATTCCTTTTTAGTCTTATTCAAACTGAATTATTGATTGATGCAAGTTTCAACACTGTTAGTTATAGGGGGTAACATGATAAAAGTACACTCAACACTACACTTCCTAATTACATTATTGTACATCTTATGGATACTTCCTGTAGAAGTTAAATCCTTTTGTGAACAGAAGATAAAGACTGAAGCTATCTATTGGCCTTTTCCTCACAGGAGATTGGACATGAAAGTTCCAAGACTTGATAATGATGATGTACTCGTTAACAGTTAAATAGAAATAACATAGCAAGATTACATCTCACTGTGCAAGCTACATCAACTTTCACTTGCAGTCATTCCTAGAAATTAATATCAAATTGCCATAACATACACACGGTCATTTCACTTCAGCAATTCTAAGTTAGTTAAAACAGATTACAGATGCGAGTAAAATGAGTCCGGCAGCAGCTATGAGCGTTAAAAATTTCGGCATTTGAAGCTGCTAATCCATTGAATCAATCTCTTCCACCTTCTCAAAACTTATTGAAGCAAATAAATCTTATGAGTTCCCTATATCTCATTTTTTTCATTGTAAAACAATACATTATTGAGAGATTAAATCAAAGTAAGATTGTTTTCTTCTCGTTCTTCATTGAACTCAATTTCGAACTTATCAAGAATTTCATCTTCGTGGCCTTCAACAAATTCATAACAAGGTTCATAGTTTTTATAATTAAGGGGTCAAGTTCTTCCATAACCTTGGTTCCTTGATTCAATAAATCATTGGGTCAAGCTTTAAACTAGGATTTTAGCTTTCTTGGGGTTGTGATTCAATCTTTTGTGGGTTTTGAAACTACTATTGTTACGTGGGTTCACATCATCTAGCCAATAATCGAGTTAAAATAAGTATAAAACTCGTGAGTAAAACTCACTCGTCAAGTAGCATTTTCAAGGTAAAATATCTACCACACAACTTCGTTTAATTTTAGCCCATCGCCTACGGACATTGACTTCCCTAATGTAATAATAATTTTGCATTCCCATCCTAAGCAACACCAGTAATTCATTCGCAGTGAGGGACAGAGGGAAATGATACACAAATATAAACATCCTACAATTCTAACTTAAATCCAATTAAACACAACATTTCCAACTCTGGAGATAAAAGATAAAAGACACAATTATTGATCAGTAATTGACAATGCTTCAACTCCTTGTTAGACCATGCTAAGTTTTGTGCACAAAATTGGTTATTTCAGATCCTTGTTGGACAAAACTTTTTCTTATAGTAACCCCCCTGCTTTAAAAAGTATAATCTAGAACTCAAGGGCCTTGTAGGACCACTTAGTCGAGCACTGATTACTTTCACTTGCAGTCATTCCTAGAAATTAATATCAAATTGCCATAACATACACACGGTCATTTCACTTCAGCAATTCTAAGTTAGTTAAAACAGATTACAGATGCGAGTAAAATGAGTCCAGCAGCAGCTATGAGCATTAAAAATTTCGGCATTTGAAGCTGCTAATCCATTGAATCAATCTCTTCCACCTTCTCAAAACTTATTGAAGCAAATAAATCTTATGAGTTCCCCATATATAGGACTCATTTTTTTTATTGTAAAACAATACATTATTGAGAGATTAAATCAAAGTAAGGTTGTTTTCTTCTCGTTCTTCATTGAACTCAATTTCGAACTTATCAAGAATTTCATCTTCGTGGCCTTCAACAAATTCATAACAAGGTTCATAGTTTTTATAATTAAGGGGTCAAGTTCTTCCATAACTTTGGTTCCTTGATTCAATAAATCATTGGGTCAAGCTTTAAACCAGGATTTTAGCTTTCTTGTGGTTGTGATTCAATCTTTTGTGGGTTTTGAATCTACTATTGCTACGTGGGTTCACATCATCCAGCCAATAATCGAGTTAAAATAAGTATAAAACTCACTCATCAAGCAGCATTTTCAAGGTAAAATATCTACCACACAACTTCGTTTCATTTTAGCCCATCGCCTACGGACATCGACTTCCCTAGTGTAATGATAATTTTGCATTCCCATCCTAAGCAACACCAGTTATTCATTCGCAGTGAGGGACTGAGGGAAATGATACACAAATATAAACATCCCACAATTCTAACTTAAATCCAATTAAACACAACATTTCCAACTCTGGAGATAAAAGACCAACTCTGGAGATAAAAGACACAATTATTGATCAGTAATTGACAATGCTTCAACTCCTTGTTAGACCATGCTAAGTTTTGTGCACAAAATTGGTTATTTCAGATCCTTGTTGGACAAAACCTTTTCTTACAGTAACCCCCCTGCTTTAAAAAGTATAATCTAGAACTCAAGGGCCTTCTAGGACCACTTAGTCGAGCACTGATTTCATAAAGTACTGAAAAATTCACAAAATCTCCAAATATGTTAAAAAATTTCTAATTTAATGTCTACCCCATCCTCGTATGTCAAGTCACCTAGACACAACATAGCCAATAAACAAAAGTTTTAAATTATAATAACCAAAAAGTCTCATATCCCCTCATTTCTCTAAACCATCATCTCAAAATCTTCAAGCATCAGTTTATTAATTGATGCAGTTCAAGGATCAGTCTCTTACTTAAATATGCTCCCTTTCGACTTCTCATACAATGACTCGGTGGAACAACCAATTTCCATCATTAATCCCCTGCACAATATTTACTGTGCATGCCAAGTTTCTTCAGTTAACTGCAATAACTTTTGAAACCCTATAGATACACAAAAGAATAAACTTTTGATTTTACATAGTGCATCAAAATCTCTTCAAATATACATAAATATATGTGGCTTTAGGGGAGGAGTCAGGGAAATTGACAAACTCTTCCAACCCCCACCCGCCAAAGCCCGCATTTACACAAACAGAAACCCGAAATATCACAATTATCTACTATTTATCGTAACAAAACTAAAAATCAAGACTGCCCTAAAACATTGCACCAACAAAACAAATGATTATATAACCTACATACCTGAGGGAGCCACCAGGGGAATTGACGAAAAGTCGAATGTCCTTACTGGGGTCCTGAGCATCAAGCAAGAGCAGCTGGCTAATAATAGCATCAGCAAGAAAATCATCAACCTGATTTCCCAAGAAGACAATCCTCTCCTTGAGCAACAAACCCAAGGCGTCAGTCTCGGCCCCGCGCATCGCTGTGGTTGGAGTCTGCGGGGACGAGGCAGAGAGGTGGAGTAAGAGCGAGTCCCGGGCACTTGAATTTTGAGTTGAATAAGTGGATAGTTGAGAGTTGAGGGAGCATTTGAGGCGCGAGTTTGTGAATTTTCTGGTTGGGTGGAGAGAGAATGCGGGTGGCGATTTAGAAAGAGAGTGGCGGTGGTTGAATAGAGGTGAATACTGGGAGAGCGGAGCGGAGAGGGTAACTGCGTCCATGGAGAGAGAGAGAGAGAGAGAGTTGGATTGGTTCTTTTGGGAAGGGAGTTAAGAGGATATTTCGACCGGGGAATTTGGTCATTTAGCTTAGTTCGACAATATCCCTACAATATATAAAAGAGCAAGGTTCCTTGCCACTGTTCCTAAGCCTAATGGCCACAAAGTGAGCCATTTTTGAGCCGAGTCGTTTCCGGAGCCGAGCCGCAAGAAAGGGTAGATATTTTTATCACTTTGTTTCTCTGTCTTTTTCTCTTAGTTTCTCTCTCCATTTCTACACGCCAACTCCCATACTCCTCCATTCTTTGCCCATGTCCTTCCTTCTTCGTTTCTCTCTCTCGACATTGGTCTCTCTCAGACGTTCTCTCTTTTCATTTTCTCCCTCTGCAGTAATAGGGAGGACCGGTTTTACAGCGTCACGAGGATTTGTAAGAGTCAAGATCGCCTGCGGAGAACCCAAAGTGACTTCACTGCCAGCGCCCTAATTGTTCTCGCTCTCTCTTCTCTCGACCCTAATTGTTTTTGCTCTCTCTTCTCTCTCGACAATCAACAAATCTCTGCCTTCGTCGCCACCGTAGCAACAAATTCCAGACGCAGCTCGACCTTGGGTTCGATTCCCTCCCCTTCTATATATTTTTTCTGGTTTTTATTGTTCATTCTATGAAGAGTGCTAATGCAGCTCGACCTTGGGTTCGATTCCTTCCCCTTCTATATATTTTTTCTGGTTTTTATTGTTCAGTCTATGAAGAGTGCTAAAAGTTCTGTTCTGTGTGTATTTTTTCATTTTCTGAAATCTTCGCTATCGTTTGATTGTTTATAATTCGAAAAAGAAAATTACTAAACATAGTTTTCGGTGTTAATGATTGCGTTAAAAGTGAAAAAAATTTGGCCCTTATGTATTTGTTTCAACTAGATGTGGTACAGGGTATTGAGCATTCTATTTCAAGGTAACATTTTCTGTCACTTGATGGAAGTTCTTTCTTGTTAATTCCTTACAAGATCACTTATTTTTTGGTTTCCAATCATGTTCAGATGTTCCTGTGTCTCAAC